TCAAGTTGAAGATTATTGTGTTTTTGTAGGTTGTAAAGCTGTCCAAAATTTTTCAGTTTTGATTAAAGACTTACAAACTGATTTCATGCTCATTCCAGCTAAAAGTGGTGATCTTTCATGTTTATTCACACTTCCAAAAGTTGGTGATCAAGTGCTCACTTTTTCAATTTCAACTTGTGCTAGTTCGAGTAACCCTCATAAAGTGGAATTCAATTGTTTGCTACCTTATATGTTGGAAGATGAGAAATTGTGTGTCACGTAAGATCTCAAAACTGTCCTCCCCGAGTTGTTTAGTGCCTCATCCATGCAACAAGTTGCTCCCATTTTATCCATGCAAGATGATCCAAATCAATGTCAACTAGTGCTAAATTTTTCACCTTTGCACAATCAAGGTCCCAATGTGAAAATCCATGACCAAAAGCTAATTAGAGAGTTTTGGATTGCAATTTGGAATTTTCATATGCCTTACACAAGCTCTTTCCTACCTTGGCGCATGTCCTTGTTTGAGAGCTTCCCGAAGTTGACCAAACGACATGCAACATGGCTCGTAGTCATTCATCTATTTCCAACATTGTTGTTCTTTAAGCGCACCATCGATTTGTGAACAAATCGTTTTCAAGAGGAGGGGAATGATATGATCTGGATCCCCCACTCTAGTCCATGAAGATTTCACATGCTCAAGTTATTCGAGTTTCAAGTTGTGTCATTTATTTGGTGTTGTTAAGCAAGGGTTTTAATGTTAATTACCTTGCTAATTTGTTTACTAGCTTTAGTTAATTCGGCCAGATTGTGTCTCAAAATGGGCCGACTTTTTGTTATTTTTTTAGGAAAATAAGTGATTCCAAATCACATTAGGATTCTAGACAATTCCAAATAGTTTTAGGTTTTGAGTCATTGTAAGGCTATAAATAACCTAGTCTTCTCCAATATTTTTAGTTAATCAGATTTTACAATAACAATGGTGAGTTAATCACTTGCTCTTATCCAAGAGAGTTTCCTTTGAATACCTGAGAGTTTTTCTTAAGTTATTCGATCCGAACTTATCAATCAAGTACCTCCTTGATTGTGGTGTACTTCTACTTACAATTTGGTTCATTAATTCGATTAGTTACGGGTTGAGATCGTATCAATATTGTTCATAACTCGTAGGATTATTAGGATCAAATTTTTTTTGCTGCCAAACCTTCGATGTTAGTTGTCTAGATCGTGCGAGTGAGTCACGGGTTTCGTCTTCAACAGAGTTCGTATCACATCATAAGTGATATTCAATGTTAATTAGGATTATTAGCTTAGATAGTAAGGACATTAATTAGTCAAGATACCATGAGCTTTCTGATAGGGTTTGCAGTCTCCTCTTAAAACAAAAAAAAATCTACCAATGCAGCTAGTAAATCAAGTATACATAACTATCTTCTAGTTATTTTGCACACTACAAAAAGAAAGTCGGTGCAGTGCAATCTCAATGAACATGAATGGCCATGTTGAGGTTAATTATGGTACAAGGCTTGTAATTAATTACCCTAAACTTATATTACTTTGGCCATCTCTCTCTATTAGGAGCCTATTCTGCGAACCACGACCGAATAGGTATCCATTTTCACTTAGAAATAAACCAATGTGTGAGCTATCGGCTCAACATTTTCTCATTGGAGGGCGATTTAGTCCAAACAAGGACTATAGGGCCTTGGGCTTTCTGGCAAGGGGCTTTTGTATTTCATGGAGGAATGCTAAAAGAGAGTATATGTTGTACTTTTGACTCAACTGAAAATGATCCAAATGTATTGGAACTCGTTTGCTGCAAATTTTTTTTTTTTTTTGTAATTCTTCTCGAGTACCTATTCATTTATTTTAAGACATGAACTGGCAAATGCCTAAGAAAACTGTGAAGAAAAAGATAGTAATACAATTATTTCATTTTAATAATAGAATTTTGCATCATTAAAAGGTGTCTTAAAGTAGAATGAGTTCAGCACTTTAATTTAGACTTTGCTCGTGGGTGAAAATATTACAAGCCTTGTAACTCAGTTTCCTTTTGGAATTTCTCACTTACACTCCTTCTCCCGTACTACCCAACTCATTCCTCCCCCTGTAACTCATTCTCCTTAATGACCAAAATATAAAATTCCGGGTTTTGCTTATTTTTCAGATTAGATAAGTGAAAACGCTAGTAGTATGATAAAGCTTTTGGCATCTAACAACCCAAATATTAGTGTTTGGAGCTCCAATTTTCTATTAGCTAGATAATTAAAAATTTTGTGTCTTTCATTTATTTATTCATTTGATTTATTTTATTGCACTTATGTCTCTTAAATTTGTCTTTTTTTTATTTTAGTGCAAGAAATTTATTTTTCTTTTCATCACCTTTAATGCCATAAGGTCTATTCCAAAGATGTAAGGAAGTTGGAAAGATTTTTCAAGTTTATTTTGGTTATACTTTCTCCAAAAATTACTAACTCTGTTCAATTTTTTTCCAGACTTGATTCCACAGTTGACTCATTTGGAATGCAGTCTTGTACCATAATATCCTTAAGGAAGTTCGAGAAGTTGCCAAATACTTATTATCCATGTATTTGTTGTGTTGTAGAAGGATGAAATGTGTGAGAATAGTGATATACTCAAAATTATCATGAAAATTCGTTTTGTCTATTAGATATTATAATTCTAATATGTGCTAAATTTATGAGATTGATTTGATTATTTGATGAAATGTGTGAAAATGGTGATGTATGGACTTTGATTACAATATCTCTACCAATATTAATTAGAAAGCAAGTTTTTTTTATTGTAAAATATGCTGATATTAAGTGGAAAGTAATTTTTATTGAAAAATAATTTTTTTTAGGGGTGGGTATCCTATAACTCACCTCTTTTTTTTGGGTATCCGAAAATATTATAAGCAGATTAGGATCGCAAAATAGTTCATTTGATATATTAGAGTCGAATCAATCAAATCATATTAGGGATGGGTATCCAATCTATGCCCACCCCTAAACGGAATTCATCCCATGCCACGGTGAAGAACGCTCGTGGGACAGTTACGACAGGCCATATCGAAGCATAATTTTCGAGAAGCCAACCATTATTTCGATGCATTGATGAAGAAGAACCGCAACCAAATGGAATTTTTAATGTTTACCTCACTTGCCATCTCCTTGTATTCTCTTTCTTTTGTCCATGCCATGATGAAAGAGACTGCTGGGCAAGAACAATTATCAGATCAATTGTACCTGAATGTTGTAACATTTTTTTAATGTTTATAATTTTAAGTAAATTGCTTGAATGTCCTTATTCCTTATAATAATAGAGGTGTAATATTCTGTTACCGTTAACGTGAATTTCACGCATAATAATTATGTGTCTAGTTCACATAAAATTAAAATCCATTCAAAAAATGTTTACAATGTTTGGGATGGTGAAGGACACTTATGGCACAATTAGGGCAGGTCGTATTGAGGTTAAAATACTACAATGGTTACCTAAAAAATGTTACAATTTTCGAGAAGCCAACCGTTTTGCGACTTGTTTGATGAAGAAGGGCTGCAACCAAATGGTTACCTTTCTTTGTATTCTCTTTCTTTTGGAAGACGTTAGGGGAGTATCCCTCTCTCAGATGATGGTACTAAAGTGATTTTATTTTATTTTATTTTTAACAAATTGCATTGGTCAGTATACCCAAAAAAAAAAAAAAAAACATTTCCATCGCAAATATTGGTAAGAATCCCTTCAAAAAATAAGTCAAGCAAAAAAAAAGTTTGGAAGACAGATGATTCGCAAGTCATATAGCAATAGAACATGTCCTGTTTTGACCAGCAATTGACAAGAAGCTCCCACCAAACAAAACCACGTGCCCGAAACGTCTGTCCGTGAAGCAAAGACGTGGTTCGAAATCAAATGCGTCTCCTTTCAACAGTCTCGCGAAAATATCTCGATTCAATTAAACAAAAGATGATTAAAAAAATTCCTCTTTGTTTCTCCCAATTATAAATCCAACTTGAATCGAAATCGAAATTGGTAATTCGGAACTTTGAAATCGGAATTTTTCGAAATTTTGGTATCAAAATTTTCGACCGATTTCGATTTCGAATTCACCAATTCCGAATTCAATTCTGTAAATTTCGATTTCACCGAATTTATGAATATAAAAATTATTATTATAATATAAATGTTATATTATATATTATATATATATATGAAAAACAGATTTGAAATCGAAATAGGAATTTCAAATTTCGATATCAATTTCGATTTCGATTTCGATATCGGAATTTCGATTTGAAAAATCTCATTACCGAATTCAACCCGAATTCGATCAATTCGAAATCGGAATATTCAATTTTCATTCTGAATTACCGAATTCAAAATTCTGAATTCAATTCGAATTCGGCCAGTAAAGCGAAATTTTTCGATTTTGCACACCCCTACTGCTTCACGCAAGAACACACACTAACACACGCAAGAAAACACGCAGTTGGCCTCACAGAGAGAACCGAGAGATGGGAGTGGTGATAATCGACGGCTCAACAGTCCGAGACTTCGTCACCAACGAAGCCGAGAATTTGTAACCAGAGAATTTGTGAAATGAAACGACAACCTTCATGAGAGGAAAGTCAAAGAAGAGCAACAAGATTCTTTCATCTTTGACCTACCTTATAATAGGAAAAAAATAAAAATAAAAAAATTGTGGGGCATTTTGGCATTTTAAAGAAATAAAATGGGAAACGAAAATGATGTCCACAAGTCACAACAACAAGATTACTACTACACAGTCGAGTGGTTAAAGGCTTTTCCTCTTGGAATGGAAGTTAATGTCTAATTATTTACACATCCACGTCACCTATGTCGGTCACAACAAATCTTCTATGTCGCTTATTGTACCGCCGTTCACTTTCTCATAATGTATTTTATTGCTATCCATCCTTCGTGAACTTCCTCAACAACGAAAAAAGAAAAAAAAATATATATGATAAAAAGCAAACTACAACAAATCAAAAAACAATATATGAAAAAAAAAAGTAAAATAATAGAAGAAATTTCTACTACAAGAACATTACAGAAAGTGAGACAAAAGTTATGAAATTGGAGTTGGAGTTCGGCAAAATCTCTTAAACTTCTACTAAAGGAGGGAGAGCTATAGCTTCTATCTCTCCTTTTTATTTTCTTCAATGATTGAAAATAGATCTCTTGGTGGGGGATCCTTTACGAGGAGTCCTGATTGATAAACGTAACAATTCGTTTCATCAAAACCCTGGCACGCTCAGAAGTTGGGTTAGGCAGATGAAAGCAATGTCCCTCCTCTTCAGTCTCCATCATTTCCAATTCTCCATCCCATCTACTTTTCTTCAATGCGCAGTAGTAAAGCAAACTTCTCTCTCTTACGAAATCCTTCTCCGCTGTTAAGACCAGGACCCTTTTGCAAACAAGCCTCGACAACAGATCAGGATGCGCCATAGGATGCAACCTGGGATCATCACAGATGCTGCTATCTGGGGCTATGAGGGAGAAAAGCTTATCAAGCTTATCAGGCTTACCATCACCAAAATAGGGATGGACCAAAATCATCCCCGCGATTTTTACTTCATCCCCTGGTCCAATTTTTTCACTGGCCCTGACCATTACGTCATGTGCAATATTAGCTCCAGCACTATCACCTGCCAAAAAGATTCTAGCAAAATCGGCATGGTTACTGATCCACGCTTCAGGACCCTGTGCAGAACTAGCATGTGCAAGAACCCATTCGAATGCTATCCAAGAATCATCATAGCATGCGGGGAAAGGATGCTCCGGGGCTAGTCTGTACTCGATGGAAACAGCAATCGCCTTGGCTTCAGCTGCTAGGGAGTTAAGGTAGGGATGGTATACACGAGAAAATGCTGATTCAATCACAAAAGCACCTCCGTGGATGTAGATTATGATGGGAAGCTTTTCATCAGGAGTGGTGGTTCTGGGAAGGTAAAGGCGGACTGAAACGTTATTCTCAGGTGGAATAAGGATATCTTTGGATTTGACGCCTGTTTGGGGATCCTCTGACGGAGGGGTGTAGGGGAACTCTTTAAATCTCTCGATCCGGCCATCCTTGTATACACGAAAGTAGGGATGGTGGTCGTGAAGCACCTCGGTTGATGGGGTTGAGTCCATTGTTGGAATTGATGGAAGGAGAGATGGAGACGGCGGCAATTATTTGGACTTGTGATTTACTTATCTTCTAACTAATAGAAAAGGAACCGGTGGTTTCGTTTCCAAGACCATTTCCGTCGTTCTCGGTCCCCGTGCACACCACGTGACTCAATTTATTTATTAGCCACCGTTTGGTTGGGAGGTTTTGTACTCCCACAATGGGAATAAGAGGGTAATGACTCCCATCTGGCTGACCACTGTGAGGGGGCGCTTGGTTCTTGCTTTGGAATTAGAAAGGAGAATGGAATGATAGATAGAGGGGTCACTGGAACACATCACACAGACTCGTGATCACATTTTTTTTTTTTTTTTTTTTCAGCACAGTGGGTATCTGGGACCGAGAACTGGTTACCGTACGCCCCAACTAATCCCACTGCGTGACCGCGAGAGGCTGCCCAACATCATCGGTCAATGGTAACGACTGGGATTCGATCCTTGGTTGGTGGCTCTCACCCAACTGGGCTACAACCACCGGACCGAACCCAGACTGGGCCAGACTCGTGATCACATTGTCCATCTTTTTTGCCCTTTTCCCTGTGAAGCAATATAATTAAGACAACAATTTATCACGCTAGCTGTGGCGGCGCCAAAGTTTTAAATAGATTGTAAAACGTGTAAGCAATAGTAGTCTAGTACAGTAGTATTCTTGGCGAATATGGCGTGGCGGCAAATGAAGAGACAGTTGATCTTTTCATTTTTTTTTTTTGGTACCTTAACAAAGTTAGAGAGTCGTGTAAGTTTGTTTTTTGCAATTGTAGTCCAGCTAATAGTCGATTGGTTTTTTTTTTTGTTTTTTTTTGGGTGGTTTTAATAGTGTCGCATATATGTTGGAAATGGTCGGTAATGTGCTTGTTTATGCTCCCCTTTTTTTTCTTTTTTTCTTTTTTTGGTTGGATACAGATGAGTTAGGGAGTCTTGGGAGATTTTTTGCATTATAATTTGCCATGTTTTGGAAATGGTCAATGTATGCTTGTTTATCGAATACTTTAGGAAAGCATTCTTACAACATCTGAACTTCAATTTGAAGGCCATATGATATCTTTTTCTTGGCAGACTAATTAACCAAATTCGTGTCATCAATTAAATAAACAAATTCAGAAATCCAAATTTTAAGGCATGATTCTAATATTTTAATTTTCATTGCATTGGACCAAGCGCGTAGTATTGGAATTATTGTAATTTCAAGTACCAAAACCCCTAAACTAAGTGATTTTCCAATACCCAAAACCCATTGCCCACCGATTTGTGCATCCAATCCATTCCTTAACCTCCTTAAGGAGTTTCCTTACTGGGACTCACTATAAAATTTTAACATTTTGTAACAAAGTTGACATCCGCAAACAAATTTTTTTCATTATAAGAGTAGTGACTTTTTAGAATTCCAAGTCATATAAATCACAGTTATTTGAGAGTGATTTTTTAGAATTCTAAGTCAACTACAAATTTTCAAATTTTAAAAAGGGTGTAAAGAGTGACAGAAAAAATTAGATGCTGAGAGGATTAAGAATAATTTTGATTGTGAATTTAGGGTTTATAGATTTTTATTTGATGTGATTTTTCGTTATTGATGCACTAACTGATTTTTGTAATATTTAAGAGGAGGGAATAGCCAAATAGATTTCGATGTAGGATTAGATTAACAAAATCACGTGAGTTGTTACAAATATCAAATTTTTAGAATGAGGGCCGGTAAAAGAGCTCCCTAATTAAGGCGGCTGAGGGTCGGATGCACAAATTTGGGCACCTTCACTTCTCATTACCCACATTCTATAAAAAGATCCAAATTAAAGCAAAATTGAAACGGAAAAAAAAAAATACGAGAGAGAAAAAGAACGCATATCTTTCTTCCTCCTCTCTCCTATCAGTCCTATGTACCGCTGCATTTTCTTCCCCCCTCCTCCGCCCTTGCCTCTCTACTTCATCCCTCACTTCTCCCACCCTCCATACTGCCACTGCTCCATCTCCCACTTCATCTTTTGCAGCTTCCCTTCCATCCCTCTCACAACACTAATTAAGTTTTTTTTAATAGAGTTTTGCATAACAAATTTGTAATTGGAATCAATGAGTTGGTTATCTACGAATCATGCTGCAATTGATCAACGGTATACGTACAAGCAGGTAGCGGTGGTGAAGGATATGGGAGGTGATGGTAGTAATGAGCAAGAGATTAAGAGAAAGAAAAAAAAAAAGGAAAAAAGTGAAAAAGAAAAAGTGGCAGAAGGAGATGGATTTGCAATGGCCAAATTCATGTGTTCTTCCTCATCTTGAGTTTTGCCATCCACAGTTTCTCCTGCAATTTACCTATCGCAGTGGTGATGCAGTGCATATGAGTAACAAGTTCCATCCCAGCTGCGCCATTAGCTGATCATATTGGTTGAACCTTTAGACATTTCCGGTATTAGCAATTTATATGAACTTTTGCAATTCTCCTTTAATTGGAGCAATCATTTGCAGGACGTCACAAAGTTGTATCCTGCAGATTTAACTACATCATATAACATAAGATCTACCTTAGAGAAAACATACATATGACATACAAAAAGAATACATGTCAAGATTTACTATTAGGTAAGCATAAGTCATATTTTGTTGTGATTCATAAACATCACAGGTACATTCTCTTGTTCAAGATTAAACAGTAAGTGATGTTGAATGTTGATTAGGATTATTGGCTTACATAGTAGGGACATTAATTAGTCAAAGATACTGTGAAGTTTCTGCTAATGTTTGCAGTCTCCTCTTAAAGAAAGAAAAAAAAAAAAAAGAATCTACCAATGCAGGTAGTAAATCAAGTATACATAAGTATCTTCTAGTTATTATGCACACTGCAAAAAGAAAGTTGGCGCAGTGCAATCTCAATGAACAGTTCACGAATGGCCATGTTGAGGTTCATTATGGTACAAGGCTTGTAATTAATTACCCTAAACTTATATTGCTTCGGCCATCTCTCGCTATTAGCAGCCTATTCTGCGAACCACGACCGAATGGGTATCCATTTTCACATAGAAATAAACCAATGTGTGGGCTATAGGCTCAACATTTTCTCCTTGGGCTTTCCGGCAAGGGGCCTTTGTATTTCATGGAGGAATGCTAAAAGAGAGTATATGTTGTACTTGGCTCAACTGAAAATGATCCAAATGTCTTGGAACTCGTTTGCTGCAATTTTTATTTTTATTTTTTTTAATTCTTCTCGAGTACCTATTCATTTATTTTAAGACATGAACTGGCAAATGCCTAAGAAAACTGTGAAAAAAAAAGTTGTAATACAACTATTTCATTCTAATAACAGAATTTTGCATCATTAAAAGGTGTCTTAAAGTAGAATGAGTTCAGCACTTTAATTTAGACTTTGCTCATGGGTGAAAATATTACAAGCCTTGTAACTCAGTCTCCTTTTGGAATTTCTCACTTACACTCCTTCTCCCGTACTACCCAACTCATTCCTCCCCCTGTAACTCTTACTCCTTAATGACCAAAATATAAAATTTTGGATTTTGCTTATTTTTCAGATTAGATAAGTGAAAACGCTAGTAGCATGATAAAGCTTTTGGCCTCTAACAACCCAAAAACAAGAAACAAGAGACTAAAACTGTAGATTTCACCTGATTCAAAACCAAAAAGGGAAAAAAAAAAAAAGCAGATGAGCACACGCATACATAAATTGTCATTGAAAGAGAATCCAAAGCTTCATTTTGTAGGCCTTTGTTAATTGCTTTTGTCAAATGCTTTTTCTTTTCCTCTTTCATATAAAGCTATAATTCAGACAGAATTGATGCTTCTTTCTTTTGCCCACCCCTTACCCCATCTTTTGGCATCCACAACTAACTTGGTAAAGAAGACTCCTAAAGCCTTTGACTAGTAGCTCATAGAAAGATGGTAGCAACATGAGCTCAAGAAGGGAAAACCACAAAAAAAAGGTACTCCATTTTATGTTTATGATTCATTGCTAACAGTAAAAAGCAGAATGATCATGAATATTTGTCAATGCTATAAGCAAGAAACAACAAAGAATCCATGTTACTTCATGATTGCACAGTCTTGGAAAAAGAATCACATTTAGAATTACAAAGGGTTTTCGACTTGAACAATGAAAAAAATGTCTTTTAATGAAGGTATTCTTGGGAGTGAGAATAATGTTTTCCATTGGCTAAAGTGTTAGGCCCAAAAAAGCAAAAGGCAAAACCTGATAAGTTAATAGTGAAGAAGATATGGATAGGACCAGTGGTAAATTAACCAGATGATTCATGGATGATTTGTAAAGGGATTGCAAGTAGAAGAAAAAAAATGTAGAAGACTACTTAGCTGTAATTAAGATTACCTTCACCAAAACAATAATCATATTAAGAATACCTAGCTAGATATTGCATTATAAACCCTCTTAATGGGTTTAATATCCTTTTACATTTCTCATCATCAAATAATCAAACCAACAATAGACATAAATTCCCATGGCAGAAGAATAAGATGTGGGATGCAACCTTTATGTCGTTATTGGTGACATAGATCAGGCACGATAATGGAAGAACACGAGGCATTTGAATTTTTGACATTCCACGTGAGTCTCCTTTTGTCTTTATTCTTATTCTCAAGAAATTTTGATTTCCCATTGGGCGGACCACCTCTAATTTTTTCACCTAAACCAACTATGCTTGTAGCTTTTGTTACATGTCAACAGAAAGCACTGTTCTTTTCTGTTGTGGGTATTAGAATTTCAACCATTTATAATGTAAAAGTGAAAGAGCTAAAAAGGAAAAAGAATATTTAATTTTTGGGCAATTCTTGCTGAAATGTTCCTTTCCAAACCATGTAAAAAAAATTCGATTGCAAAAGATATGTCTTTTTAGGTTAAGCAAATAAATACAACTTTGCTAGAAGGATTAGTAAAGATGAAAAAAAATAAAAAGCTAAAGATGGCTCTTCCTCCAACTGCAAGAAAAAGAGTGAAAAGAGGAAAGAAAATAAACGAATGTTGTAACTTTATTGGGAGGCGCATAACATTTTATAAAGCTTTGGCTGCAGGGAATTTCTTGGGACAATTAGTGCCTCATGTTTCTTCCAAATAATGGGCCATCCAAACAAATCACATATATTTGTTTTTCTTCCACTATTATTTCCTCCTACTTAATTAACTTTTACGCAACAAAATAGTTACTACCTACTTAATAGTTGATTAAACCTCAAAATCTTCGACAGCAATAAATGAAGAGATGAATACTTATGATAAGTACTGCAGCCACTATTTTAACAACAAATAGTCCTGATGCATAAGGGTCGTCAGAAATATGATTAGGAGTGAGGAAGTAGTCAGTAGATTGTTCATTTTCTCATGATGACCAATTGATGAGTACTTTAGAAAATGAAGAATACCTGGAGACCCATGATTCTGACTGCACAGTTGTCTTGCCTGTAAAGACTACCCGACGGATAAAGATAAGAATAAGAAACAAAAGCATTTATCGAAAGCAAAAGGTGCCCAGCTGTTGAAAAAAGACAAATTGCCTCAGGGTTGAAAGGGTATTGGGTGGTAGTATCCCACTTAGCAGCAGGTCCCCCCTATAGGTACATTTGTCCCACATCGGGGTTGGGGTTGGGTTTGGGTTGGGATATAAGTCCCTGGGATTGCCTCAAGAGTTGCCGGCTTTTGAGGTTAATTCTGGGATTAGGTTTATAAAACAACAAAAGTCTGATTCAGGCT